TTAACAACTTCTCTCAAAAGAGGAGGGGGAACTAGGACTAAAGAGAGAAGGGGAGAAGAGAAGGAACCTTAGACGTTAGAGAGAGGTCAACTTTATTTCACGTCTTAAATGTGGAACAACCTTCATTTATTTATAAAGACTTGCCACAATAACGTATTAATTTGAAATTTGAAATTTACAATTTCAAAGTCAGAGCGTTTTCTATTTGTGTAAATGTAACACAAATCTCATCTGTATCCATCTCCTATTTAATTCTCATTCTTTAGGTAATATTGCTGACAATATTTTAAGAAAAATTACCAATTAAGTAACAACAAAATACATGAGACCAGAAACAGAGACTCCCTTTACTTATCCATAAGTCATAAACTTTCTATTTTCAAATAAAAAAGGCCTGGCAGCTCACATTTGTACTCTCTGCACTGGGAAGTCCGGAGCAGGAGGATTGCTGTGTAGCCTGGGCCGCAGAGGGATATCCTGGCTTTAAAACATTTAAGGTTCAACATTTTCTTCTAACTGTTCCCACTTTAGCTTGCTATCCCTCTTAGGTTTTCTTCAGTGGAGACTATGCTTTCTAGGAATCTTCTAAATCATTTACTACACATCATTCAAATCTCTTCTAAGCTCTTCCTGGAATGGAGACAGCTACCCCTCTAAACAACCATCCAGAATTGTGTAGAATATGATGCCCATCTTCACAGTTCCCCTAGGGCATAGACAGAATTGAGATTCTGAACTCAAGGAAGAATTTATATTAAGCAATTAATTCAGTTTTATTCAACATATTTTATGTAATCAAGCCTGACTTTCTCAGAAGTAATTGGTATCAGCTTACTACACCCCCCTTCTGTTCCAGTTATTTCTACCACTTTTCTAAAATTGGAACTTCTAGTCTATCCTTAAACTGGACTTTTTTTTTTTAGTGCTGCTGAATGTTCCATGGGAAGAAGATTCATCCATTAAATATAAAATAAAGAGTAAGGAGACTAGCATACCCTTCCACAACATCTAGGACAGCAGGTGCACAATAAAGGCATTTGGCCACATGGACTGACAGTTCAAACATGAATGTTATCACAGGTCAGTCAGTTACAGGTCAGGATGAGTTTTTACTGACACCGAATGCTTCAGCAGGAAGTTAGCAAAAAAGCAATGACCTTCGACTCTTGGAGGCAATTTATAAACGCATAGACAAGCAAAACAAGTGTTCTCAACGACATGCAAAGGTCCCCTCTAGGACAGGGCTCATCAAATGACACAGCAGGCCCAAAGAAGAATCCAGATCAGCAAACCAGGGAGGATGAGGTAGGGAAGAGGGAGAATGACTGACAGGCAGTATGTCTCAGTGTGTCACCAACCTACGGGTGCCATCTTAAGAACTTAAAGCCTCTAGAAAGCAGTGTGAAGTTACTCTAAGGGTCGCTTTGAGTGGCAGGTATAGAACAGACAGGAAGGGACAGAGCAAGACTGAGTTCTAACGAAGGGAAGTTTTCAGAACTTCCACAGTGTGGCGAGGCAGACACCCCGAGAGGAGAAGCTGAGCAGGGCTTGCTCCCCACCAGTGGGCCCAGGGCTAGCCCAGATCTAATGCTTTTACTCCTTCAACCGTCTAAACAGTGCGGCTGCCAACCTTCACTTCCTCCTCTTCCTCCACACACGCAAAGCTATTCTAACAGGAGAACTGGAAGGTAACTACTGGTCCTAGGATGACTACCTCAGAAAACACAAACCGTGAGTTGTCCGACAAATCAAAATTCACTGCACACCTTAACAGAATTTAACGTTCAAATAAGACCTGGGCATCGAGAAAGATAACCCGCAGCTATAACAGTCATATATCATAGTTCACTGGAAAAATAAAAGGCCATGTAAAGAATATAAACATCACGTAAGGATTTTTAAAGCTATATGAGGTGGGCAGTGGTGGTGCACACCTTTAATCCCAGAACTGGGGAGGCAGAGGCAGGAGCATCTCCTTGAGTTGGAGACTAGCCTGGTCTACAAAGATACACAGAGAAACCCTATCTTGGAAAAAAAAAAAAAAGAAAAGAAAAGAAAAAAGCTATATTAAATGTTTTAAAGGTTTGTATTTTGGTTACTATCCAAAAGTAACCTGAAAAACCAACCCACCAAGCAAGCAAACAAAACAGTGTTGGAATTCCTTAAACACAGGCTTGAAAACCTTTCTTTACCAGGTCTATGTCAAGGTATTCGGAATAGTCACTAGTTTTAACAGAACTAATGCCATGTATTCATTCCTTTACTCATGTAAATATGTGTGTGTGTGCAGGACCTATTTGTGAGCAAGGGTGTGTGTCACAGTGTATGTTCATGGAGACCAGAGGACAGCTCTGTGAGGATGGATCTCTCTTTCCACCTTATGTGGGTTCCAGGGATTGAATTCAAGTCACCGGGCTTTGTAGCAAACACCTTTCACCTATGGAGTTATCGAAATAGATATTTTATTATGGAAGCCCTGTGTGTGTGTGTATGTGCATATACATGCATGCACACATGTAGGTACATGTGGAGGTCAGAGACAACCTCAGTTGTCCCTCCTCAGGCCTCAGGTACTGCCCATCTGTCCCAGACAAGGATCTCTCATGGGACTGGAGCTTGCCATGGTTAGGCTAACTGGCTGGCTAATGAGCCCCAGGGAATCTGGCTGTCTCTGCCTTCCCAAGTGCATGACCTCCTGCCCAACTTTTTACATGGGTTCTAGGGATGAAATTCAGGTCTTCAAGCACTTTACTGAGACATCTCCCAAAATATGTTTTAAACATTCAAGTGTAGTCTCTCATAGTACATCAGCTATTCATCACAGCTATTAAATAGTCCACGTACCCAAATGCCACTATTCCAAGGAGAGTACATATGTTACCCATCACTACAGTTTGTTGTTTTGGCCATTAATATAAACCCAAATTTGGGTGAAGAGAAAGACAGGCATGCATGAGTGAGCCAGCACGCACACACAGACAGGTACAGATACACACAGAGAAAGAGAGAGACCCAGCTGTGTACACAGAGAATGTCCCTTGCTCCAGAGTGAAGGGTCCCTTTCAGCTCTGCCAATATAGATCAATGTTTTGTTCATCACCCTGCCTCCTATTTTCTTGTCATTTGAAACTCGAGTGGCTGGAGACATCAATCAACTTTAATCACTGGCTAGTTTTATAAACATGATCCCACAGTGCTGGGAAAAGGAGTTTTGGTCTCTGCCTTCAGTTCCCCCACTGAAAACAACCACCCAAAAGATAACCCTTGTAAAGCACCTACCAGAAGGCCACTTTGTGTACTGGTACAAAAGAATACACCAAGGCCAACACTGCTCCATAGCCTCTTAACCTCTAAAGGCAAAAGGTTTTTAGTTCAAATACTGATGGCGTGGGTTTTATTGAAGTCTTCACTTACCTTCCTAGTCTGATCAGACACCGCAAACACTGGATTCTGATTACAGTGCAGAGCTACACAACTGGACATTCCTAATCACCCTAGATTAAAGATTCCATTCTCTTTCCTTTCTGCTGGGCCATTATACCAAACCTAGAGCAGGACTATACTCACCTCCGGGCTAGAAGAAACAACATAATAGCCTATTGATCGTTCGTGTACACCCACACCCACAAGTCATCAGCCAAGCTGGGATGGAACTAACAATCAAAAGTCATGCACTGGGTTTCCTGGCCCCACACAAACACATCACTGACAGTTGCCCAGAAAAAAAAAAAAAAATACTACACTACTCAGGTAAGGGAGCAAAACATCCTGATTTATACTGAAGAGATTACTGTTTCTTGGCTGGCAGTAAATGGCAATTTAAGTTCATTATATTTCTCATGTAATATGAATTCTCCAGTTTTGAAAGTTACCATCATATTCAATTCCACAGGCAAATGCTTTCAAAAGAGATGCTACCATATGCTGGGGAATTATATGTTGACAGAAACCACCACCATTATACTACGGAGTCAGTATTTGTGGCAAATGACTAGGACTTTTTATAAGTAAAATTTATCAAAAAAAAAAAAAAAAAAAGGTGGCTTCGAACTGTTTTTTTTTTTTTTTCTGGAGAAATCAAGGCAATATTCCAAAATGGAATTATTAATCGTGTTCTCTGCAATACCCACTCAAGGAGTTAACTAGTGAGAACTAAGGTGAAGTAGGAAACGAGCCCAACCTCAGGTCTCAAGTGATGAGCATCCCTCCTAATTTCTTAGTTCTCGTTCATACAAAGCACACTCCTGACATACCATCAGCCTTCTGTTATCTTTAAAGAAGTGGCCCTAACCAGATCACCGATGGAATAAGACAACAGTGACAACAGCGTGGATGAAATGGCAAGTGAACAGGGAGTCAGGGTAGACTTGTATGCCCCAACAGGGAAACACTGAGGTGGGGCTGGAAACTATTTTCTGGCCTTCTCTGGCGTGCAGCTACTGGGGAACAACAAGACCCTACATGCCCAGGACCCACAGAGCCCGGGGCACCGAGGTGGAGGGGTGGGAAGGAAGCAAGCGAGATGCTTTTACAGGGAGTGGGGACCAAGAGAGATGGGCGCGACGAGAAGAGAACTTCCTGCCTCGGGAAGGATCGAGGGTGGTGGTGGCCGGACCGTCCCGGAGGCGACCTCCCCTTCGTAGTGTCACGGTCACATCTTTGTGCGAGAGGACTGTGCACCCGGAGCGCTAGAGGAGGGAGCCGCCGGGCCCTCGCGCCGGGCTGGCAAGTCCGCCCGCACGCTGCCGCTCTGCAGGGTCCCCTGGCCCGGACCGGCCACCTCCCCTGCCCCGAGGGGTCGGCGTCGGCGAGCGGACCCCAAGCATCCCCGAGAGCAGACAGACAACCCTCCCCGCACACCCCGCGTGGGTCTTTGTCCCGCCGGCGAGCCGGGGTCTCCTCGGGTCGCCTAGGCAAAGCCCGTCCTGGAGGCCTGGTGGCCCCTTCGGGGTCGCCCCAGCTTTGTTCGGTCAGCGGGGCGCGGGGAGGCGGACACTTACCGTACACCCCAGCGAGGAAAAGCAAGAGCCACGCCGACCCCCGCCGCGGAGACTCTTTTGTGCTCCAGCGACGGGCCATACCCACGGCAGATGGAGGGAGCGAGGAGATGGAGGAGGAGGAGGAGCTGGGGCCAGACGCCGCCGCCGCCGCCGAGCCCCTGGCTGCTCCCTGCGCGCTCCGCCGCGGCGGAGGGGGAGGGGCGGGGCCGCCCGCGCGCGCTCCCTCCCTCCCTCTCTCCCTCCCTCCCGCCGGCCCTGCCTCGGCCGCGAGCCCCAAGCGGGCCGGCCTTCCCGGGGGAGGTGCAGGGACGCGCCGTGAGCGCGCCGGCGCGGGGCGATGGGGCTGGCGACTGCGGGGCTCGGGCCTCGCGCCGCACGCACCAGCAGCAGCCGGCGCCGCCACCCGCCAGACGGAGTGCGAGCCGGCAGCCGCGCTCATCCGTGCGCTCGGCAATCCCCTGGCCCGCCTGCCTGGGTGCCCGCCCCGCGCTCCGCTGGACTCGGCCGGGCTCGCGCCGGCTTCCCGGCGCCCGGAGCCCGAGCAGCGAGGCAGTGCCAATCGATGTGCGAACGCACGAACTCTGGCCGCTCGATTCCCGGGGCTCCCGAGCTCGGGTTTTGGTGGCGGTGGGGGTCGGTGGTGGTGGAGGTTGCGGGGTGGTCTGATGATGAAGCTCTGCAGTCTCAGACCTTGCTGTTGGGGCCCCCGCGGGAGATCCTCGAGGCTGATCGTAGCTACCGCGAAGAGAGGGTGGTGGGTGGTCGGAGGCTGTGAACTTGGAAGTTCCTTGCTGTGATCCCCAGACCGTGCAGGCTCCACTTGGAATCTGCCCTGGAACAGCGGGTGGGTCGTGGGTCCGCGTGGGATCCTGTGCTAGGGGCTCTGCGGATACATCCAGCTCGGTTGCAGGGTCCTGCGCCTCTAATCTGGCGGGGAAGCCGCGGGGGCCCTTTGGACACTGGTGCGATGGGGTGGCCGCTGGACAGGTATGCCTGGCTGGAGTGGACCTGGGGTCGGGACGTGGAAAACGGGATATCCCAGAATTCTCCCGAGCCTCTTCCCACCTCCTGACATGGATGACCCGTGGCGCTTCTCTCTGTGTGTAGTGACACTGGCGCTCTAGACTTTCCACCTTTCAAAGTGTCTGCACAGTCTTAGCAGCTATCCTTGCCCTTTACAGGCACTGTCCGCTGTTCGCTGAAAGATCCGCAATGCATTATACTATATACTGTTGGCACGGGTTATATGAGATAAATATTATCCACGTTTTAGATAAGTTAATGAGACTTGAAGTTAAATTACCCTGAACGAGGTATCAAGTAAATCTCCAGCAAACTTTTTGTTTCACAATTCCAAAGTCAAGACACATCCACAGTAACAGGAAAATCAAGCAAAATGCTTAGTGCCTAAAGGTTGTTGTTAAATTTTAATATATGCCTTGGGGGAGTATGTTAGGCTTTTGCCTGTATCTCTTGCTGATTTGACCCTTTAATAACTGCTCCCCACCCACCCCCCGAAATGGTATTACAGAAGATAAAAACTCTTGACAGGTATTACAGAAGTTTATGAATCTTTTACAAAGTGACAACAAACAAAAATCCTGAACTCTGGAAATTTTGCCCCATTTTCTGTGTTGAGAATGCAGCAGTTTTGGTGTTCTTGATTCTACAATCTACAGATACATCCTTGTTTTATGACACTACGCTCTGATTGCTTACTTTTTCAGAGCTCTTCCTGTTAGTTTAGTTGCCACAGCAGCTGTGTGTGTTTGGGTCAGGCCACAAGCAAAACGAAAAAGTATACTGGGTTGGGTCCATCTCTCACCCCATACTTTTAGTGCCATTCTAGGAACTCTGTCCCAAGAGAAGTCACATCGTGCCCACATAGCCCCCCCCCCCGCTATCCTTCAATCTGCACCCCCCCAACCCACACTTGCTCATCTACTAAGCTGTCTCTCAGACTTGTCAAATGATCAAGCATTTTGTTACCCAAGCCCCTTTAATGTTCTTAAATTTTAATGAGGACTCCAAAGAGCATCTACTTAGAAATTAAAATGAAAGCTTTAACTATCTTTAATTCTTTTAAAGTAAGACATGCAAATCCATATTAGCATTCTCAAAACAAGCAGGAGGAATGTGCCATCCTCTCTGTCTTTGTAGACCTGCTTTGTGTCTGGCTGGAAACATCTGGATTCTCATATCTGCTCTCTGCAGCCAATCTGTTGCAACATGTTGTTTTGGTTGAAGTATATTAAGAAAGTCAAGCAGAGGTGTACAAACTGACAAAGCAAGGACTTCATATTCTTCCTTGAAATACCCAACCCCCAACCAAATACAGGCTGTGCATCTTCAGTCTGAAAATCTGGGGTGATCCAAAGCACTGAGCACTAAAACTCAAAAACAAAAAGGCAAACACAGAACAACAAAACTCCCAAGAAATTTGAGGCCCCAAACATTTCCGATAAAAGAACACACAGCTTGTGAAACTTTAAAAACTATCACTCTAGTTGTCTGTTTTAGAGGATTGAAAGACGAAGACCCGTAAGTATATGTATGAGGGGACATTTCCCTTATCAAAATAATTCTAGTGGAATCACGGGTGTTGTTAAGCCACCTGTCATAGAGTAGGCGCTTTATCAGGCACAGGGGGTGTAAGCACCTTTTGTGTTGCTCGGCCTACCTTCCTCACTTTCCCAGTTACACTGGTCATATGAAGAAGCACTTTGAAATCCATTAAAACTCTGGCTATGAAGAGGTTTGTTTTGGTAACCGTTCCATTGAGTGGAGTGCTTATTATGCTTGGATGGTTCAGATTTGCATCCTATAAAGCATAAATCATGCCCTGAAGAAACTTCTTCTTCTGGGTCCTTATATCCATAAATAGGCTTTGAGTGATCTGCTATGCCTTCTGAGATTGTTCAAAGTTTTTGTGTTTGCCCACGGAGTCTTAAAGAACCCTGTCAACCGTTACAGTTTAAGAAAATGTTATTAAAGCCGTTCTGAGTTGCTTCTTAGTGCTTTTCCAAGTGAGTCTCATACTTCTCAAGAACAAATAATGAGTGGGGGCATATGTGGACATCTTTTTCCCTTAGTGTACTTTGGAGAAGGCTACAGTCTTCCACATTGTGGGAATATGTCCTTACATAATCAAAAATCCTTTGATTTTAAAGATCTCTTTCTCATTTGGTTGTCATCACCTATGGTTTAATTTTTACTCTTGTGAATAAAAAAAAATCCATTGCAAAATGTGTTCTATTTGGTGGCATCTGAGGATCTCTTCAAAACTAAGGTTTCTCTGGGAATTCAAATCTAGAACTCTGAGTATCATCTTTGCTTAGGAAGAAAATTGAAGAGAGTGGATTTTCTTCTTGGCACACTTCCAAACAAAGACAAGTCATCTCCCCTTCACTGGCTTATTATTTTTCAAAAGAGAAGCAAACTTGGATAATACATATAAGTACAAGGAAAAATATTAAAGGTGGTAAATAAATGAGAACTCTTCATAAGAAAATTGTCCTGTTGGAGATGAGTAATACAGGGTTGCAACTGAGAGCTGTCAATCTAAGCAACTTGAATATTAGTTTCCCAATACATTTGTTGAGGTTATTTACTATGTTCTGAGCTCCAACAGCCTACCATTGCACCTACTAGTCAAAGCATACTACTGGTTCTACATCACATGGGCCAAATCCTTACACATTTAGTTTTGTCCTCATAACTTCAACTTCTTGAGTGTCAAGTCAGATCACGGCACATGCATAAACTTGTAATAACTTTTTTCCTTTTGTAGACATTTTAAACCATTGTGTCCATCAAGAATAGTAAAGGAAAATAACAAGCTATGCACAGTTAGAAATACGCCCAGGCTTTTGTTGTTGAACTGCAAGTTTCTAAACACACGTCTTTGCCTTCACATTTAAATTATTCTCATGGCTGATTGAGGATATGAACTGGAAATTCTTGTTGGATGGGAGCTCATCTCAAGTCCCCATAAGCCCATTAGCAGTGAACCTAAAAACTGTGATGTCAAATGAATGATTCTTTATAGGGACATATTGTTAATTTCAGACACATATAAATTCTTTGTATTCTGCCCAAATCAATAGAATTTGAGGTTACCAGTGTTATTTAACAAATGCAGTATGCTGTGGCAGATAAAAGCCAGGTTCTGAAGATTTTTACAAGGCTGATTTGATCTAGGTGGTTAGTTTTGATAAAACCCTAAATTCTTATATTGTATATTCTCCCTGTTAAAATGGAAGTGAAATGTGATCTCTTTGATTGCATGTCATCAGAGAAATAATACACGCATGTGAACCTATAGCATAGTTTTCATTTAATCTTCAAACAATTCTCTCATGTCAATACTATGATTATCCTCAGTGTTCCAAAGAGCAGGCAGAAAGGTTCAGTTGTTTGTTGAGATCACACAGATGGTAAATGGTGGGAAATAAACTCAGAGTCTAGAGCCGGCACATGTCATCAGTCTATGCTGTATGTAAAGCCAGGCACTTAGGCAGTAAATGACAGCTACTGTTATCCAACATATAACTGGTATAATCAGAGCAGTCCGTATTCTCTAATATGCAATTAAAGAGAAAATCTATACTACTGTTTTTCTACCTTTTGTTTTTACCAAATTGATCAACATTACCATGTGTTCAGTTTAAGTGAGATAGGCATCAGCCTTTTTAGATTTATTTTTTTTTTTAAAGTCACTTTTTAAAAACTTTTTTCTTTTTATTTCCTTCCATTTTGGAAAAGCAGTGAGAATCAATCAGAAGAAGCATCCATCTGGCTTTTTTTGCTGCTTGTGCTAATTTCTTCCTGGTGACCTTGGAGTCATTTATAGCTCCCTTTGAAGATCAGAGAAACCTAGGTTGCTTATTACCCTGATCTTAAGAAGAAGAAAAAAAAAATCTATGACAGATATTTCTGATCTCAAAAGAATACATCAACTCATATGAAACGGCTCAGTTATGAGGCCATGAAAACAGAGGTCGTTGCTACTGAAGAATAGATTACTCCAGCTTCATCATGAAAAGGACGTTCTCCTTGGAAATACCCAGGCGGGTTTGCATTTTGAATACACACCAGCTGTGATGGAAAAGAACAGCCTAAGCCTTTGGATCCCCGTAGTCTTGCTGGCCTTGCTCACACAGC